TCTCGTCTTCCACATTTCCTGTACCTGCCCTGTTTGCCTTTTGTTGCACCCTTACCTGTTACGCCTTTCCTCCGCAGTCCAGCTCCCATCCCTAACGTTCCTGCCCTGCTGAGCCCGGCGTCCTCCGTCCTCCTTCCCTTCCGTAACCCCGTCTTGTGTAACTTCATGGGACCGGCCTTCTGGCTGCCAACCTGTTCGCCTGGACACCGACTACAACTTTTGCCTTCCGATTCCAGCCTCGTTAGCCTCGGCTCTCATCAGAGAGAGACCTCCCTGCTCGTGTTCCGTTCATGGAACTGTTACGGGTTCAGTCATTACTCTGTGCTGTTCCTCAATAAAGCCCTCGCCTCGCATTTCTGGATCCCCGTCTCTCTCTCTCTCTCTCTCCGCCTGACACTGGCACCCTGTGCTTTTCACAGATGACAGCAAGTTCACCCATGTGACAGATGTGAAAGGGTCTGGAGAAGCCATGGACAACATTATGCTGGCAGTAATATTGTTCAGCATGACTGGTTTGGTGGTGGGTCAGTGATGGTCTGGGGAGGCATATCCATGGAGGGACGCACAGACCTCAACAGGCTAGACAACGGCACCTTGACTGCCATTAGGTATTGAGATGAAATCTCTGGACCCATTGTCAATTTTGAGTTGCTGCAATGAATTTTCGGCAAAATGGACTCACTTTGATTTTCAGGGTGTCTTTGAATTCAGCCCTCTGTATGTTGATAATTTTCATTTCCATCAAATGATGTGGCATCCTTTCATTCCTAACACATTATCCAGTCCATATCAGTATAGATATCCAGCATGATTTTTTCCCATTGAGATCTGATGTGTTTTCAAAGTGTTCCTTTAATTTTTTTGAGCAGTGTGTTTTTTCCTGAGGTCCAAATTACGATGAGATAAGATCAACTTTCTTAATCCCATGATGTCAAATTTTGAAATTACAGCTGCTGGTTATATAGCCAGGATCAGACAACACACACAACATACAGTAAGAGCACAACACGAAGGGACATAGATAAAAATATATATTTTACATCCACAGGCATCAATATGGAGTTGGTCCACCCTTAGCAGCTACCCCTCTTCTGCAAAAGCTTTCCACAAGATTTTGGAGTGTGTTTGTGGGAATTTTTGTCCATTCATCCAGATGAGCATTTGTGAAGTCAGGCACTGATGTTGGACGGTAAGGCCTGACTTGCAGTCTGTGTTCTAGTTCATCCCAAAGGTGATTGATGGGGTTGAGGTCAGGTCTCTGTGCAGGCCAGTCAAGTTTTCCACACCAAACCCACCTAACCATGTCTTTATGAACCAGGGGTCTGCCGAAACTGTCAGCTGATTTAAATCAGGGCTTAGAACATTACCATTTGCTGCAGCTTTTCAAAAAATTAAATCAGTTAAGCCATATACTTTCACAAACAATATAACTTCTTTTCAGTTAACTGCTTGTTTGGCATTTAGGGGATTTAATGTAATGTTACTATTATTATTTACCTATTTATTTAGTCCTATTATTTATTACCTGGGGCGACATGGTGGTGCAGTGGTTAGCACTGTTGCCTCACACCTCTGGGACCTGGGTTCAAGTCTCCGTCTGGGTTACATGTGTGTGGAGTTTGCATGTTGCCTTTGTAAAGCACTTTGAACTGCCTTGTGTCTGAATTGTGCTATATAAATAAACTTGCCTTGCCTTGCCTTACCTTGCTTCATGCTGGAACAGAAATCCAGAAGTGCACAAAATTGGAAGCATTAGCAGTGAAGGTTGGATAACAGGGTTCTTGCAGGTTTCAATAAGTTAAATTTAAGACCTCTTTAAAACCTTAAAGAGCAGGGACGGATTATGGGTTGTGTGGGCCCCTGGGCAAAACATTTGCGAGTGCCCCCCCCCCACCACCACCACCACAACCACCACAATTCAAGGGCCCTTGGCAGCCAAACGCCCTCCCTCCATGTTTCCCTATAGGGTCAGGGGCCCTTGTAGGCAGAGGATCAAAGAATGTAGGCCCTCTAAAATAGACAAACGAAAATACATTGTTGATAAGCGTTGCAAATTGTTTTGGGCTAGGGGCCCCACGGGCCCCCTGCACCCCAAGGGCCCCTGGGCAGCGGCCCCGCTGTCCCGGTCCGTAATCCATCCCTGCTTTTAAGACCATATGAGTAAAATTTAAGACAAACACGATGCATTACTAGAAACATTAGAATGATACCAGAAATTCTCATATTTTATGTCACTCATATCCTTAGCCCAACATCCACATATCATATGTGTTTACAAAATGTGTTTTAATAAGTTTTCATGTGTTTAAAGCATGTGGGAGGGGTATTTTAAGGCTTAAACTATAAAAAAGTTTATGTATATGGTCTTTCTATATCGCGGATTTTCACCTATCGCTGATGGGTCTGGAACGTAACTTCCGCAATAGGCGGGGGATCCAGACCCATCAGCCATAGGTGAAAATCCATGATATCCTCCTGAGACCCGACCTATTAATTTATGTCCATTGTAGTGGACATTGTATTTTTGCATTTATTTTTTCACTGATGTTGGGAAACGTATTTATTCTTGTTGTGCACTAAAGAGGACATGCTGTGAAATTAAAATAAGAATAAATTTGAAAAAATCTAAATTGTAAGATGTCTTATTTCCTCCAAAGACAAATAACCTACAATTGAAGGACACTTTTTTCCGTGGGTCTCAGGAGGATATAGAAAGACCATATATATAAACTTTTTTATAGTTTAAGCCTTAAAATATATAGTGATCCCCCGCCTATCGCGGAAGTTGCGTTCCAGACCCATCAGCGATAATGAAAACAACTGAAAACAGCTGATAAACACGGGGAATCCACACGGGTTTAACGAAGGGTTTAAGCGGGGCAGCACATACTGCACTTTTAATCAGATTTTTTAGATTTTCTAAGCAATTTTTATTCAAATAAGTTTTTTTCATCTCTATTTTATTTTTTGTCTTGGTTTAACTTTTTAAAATCTTGTTTTTATAAAGCACATTAAAGAACCCCTGTGTATGATAATAAAAACTTGCCTTGCTTTACCAAGACCACACGAACAACTAAAAACTATATGCTGGAAACTAAGACATTCACAAGGTAACTCCATGAAAAGCTCTGTAAAAGTAGAAATGTGTATTTTATGATAAGATAACGTGAGCCAACTGGCTATAGTAGTTGCCTTTTAACTGAAAAAATTCATTCCAGTCATCAGAGAAAAAAGTTACTAACGTACTACATCAAAACATTTACATTGCAATAATGTATGGCATGAAATAAACTTGTAACTATATCATTCAGTAATACAAATAATAAAACAACATACTGTTCACACTGGCCTCAAGAACTAAGTTAGCGCTTGATTCCCCTGCACTTCCTGTTGTGGCTGAGCGTGCACCTGTGGCCTGTACTACGAAGCGGGGTTACTGGCTTATCAGGGTAACTTGTCGGATTTAAGGTAGCACCGTTTAAATGGACCTCATATTCTTTCATTTACATTTTGCCCAGACTACCTTAAATCCGACTAGTTACCCTGATAATCCAGTAACCCCGCTTCGTAGTACAGGCCACTGATGTCAGTGGCTGAAAGTGCACGTTCTGCAGCCAGACGCTTCTCAAACTGTTTGTTTGCAACAGTTTTTTCACCACGCAGACACCGGTGCAGACCAGAAAATACAACCAACGGATTAGTTTTACAGCGTTTTACTATTTTATTTTCTGCGGACAACGCTTCTTGGGAATGAACGGAGGTACGATTTTTAAGACTTGGGGAAAAAATAAAAATAAATTTTAAGACCTAGGATGAAAATATGGGCATTTTTAAGACATTTTAAGGCCTTAAATATAACTTTATGAATTTTAGACTTTTTACGACCCCGCGGGAACCCTGGATAATGTTAAAAGCGATGGAGAAAACACGATTCTCACAATGCTTCATAGTTTTGCATCAACAATTCAGCAACAACGATTTACCAAATTGGGGGACTCCGTCTTTTGACTACCCCTGCTTTCGTGAGACATTTGCTAAAGAAACCTAATTCATAATGTACACAGCAATTAATTTTTAATATTTCCCTTTCAAAGACCTTGAGAAAATACTAGCCTCTTAAATCACAGATACAGTATTCACTTTACACCAGAAATAATATTTTTGATTTCTGCCCCTTACCTGTCACTGCACAGAAACTGAACCAAATTCAAATATTAAAAGTTTACCATGTGGAAGTGTAACAATGATTATAATCCTGTGGATAGCACTGCTTTTGACACTGTTTACCATGTCATTCTTTGACAGGTTTGTCAGGATGTCTTTAAAGGGTTGCTCTATTATTTCAGTACATTCAGGAATCCAGTGGTTTGTAACTGCTGCACCTATCAGTACAACCTAATGACATTATGTCTATGCCATCCTTGTTGGAGATAATTTTACAGCTCCAGGACTCCCTAAGTCTGACTAAGTAGCTAGAAAATGGATGGATAGATGTATTACAATGCATCACTTTCAAGGAATATGACCAAAATCCTGCACAAGGACAGTGTCCTCAACTAGTCATATCACCACAAGCTCTCATGTATCTTTACTGCCTTCCTGGCCTTCAGGTTTTTTCTTCTCACTTATAAATCTCTGAAAGATCTTTAATCTGCTTATCTGTCTGGACAGATTAGCATAGACAGGTCAGCTGCTCAACATTGCTGGCTGAAAGGAACTCCATTACACCATGGCATCATAGTATCAGTGGTTAGCAGTGTAGTTTATCACCCCCAGGTCCATATGTAAAACTCACAGACTTGTGTCAATATGTGGACCTTCTTTGTACATCTCATCTTCCTTGAGTCTACATATTTTATTACAAAAACCACCATCTGTGATATTTCAAAAGGAACAGAACATTTTAAAAACATTCCTTTTATTTAGTCATTTTTTCCAGAAGCATTTAAGTTGGAGAATTAAATGAAAATGCAAAGAATTGCTCAACCAACAAGATAAAATTAAATGTCAAATAGTGATAATTTTATTACTGATTAAATTGATTTATACAGAACCGAAAGACAACAAAACAGTATTGTTAAACTGGTGCAACATATACAAATATTGTTGGCAAAAAAGGGATTATGTCCTTATGTGATCAATTTTTCATTAAAGAAAGGGGATTATATCGTATTCAATGGAAGGTTATCTGGTTATATAATTTAAAACTATTTTTACCCAATTTGAGACTACTTATCAAATGATTTTTAAAGATAACTCTGAATGTAATTCTGGTTTTCATGTTTCACAGTGTTTTATGATTTCGCGTAGACTGGTGGGTTCCAGCTGAGACCTGCTGTTTAACAGTAAATCTGATCACAATGTACTGATTCCTCACAAGAAGCGGTGAATACATCACCCAGGAATTCATTCTTAAAATTCTGTATCAGTACTATATCAACCAATAAATATGGATTTTTAATGAAAATGCAAAACTGAAATTTACCTGTTATAACATCAAACCCTATATAAAAAAGGGCACATATACAGTAGAGAACCCTAGCCCTTGTCTGGAAATATAGTAATATTGGTTACATATAAAAATATTAAACTTGTGCCATTTAGCATCATAGAATTTTACATTAGACTGTATTCATGCATATAAGACATAGGAAATACATAATGTTAATGGCAAAAACATAAATCATCCTGAGTAATCAAACACATCACCACAATCCAAGCCCTTCTGTACCTGTGAATGAAGACATAATTTTAATTATGAAAGCAGTTGTAAATGTGTTATATTGCATTTATATTTTGAAAACTTTTCTCATTGTCTTATTCTGCCAATTTAATAATACTCTACCAATATGTGTAGATACAATAAAATTATATTTATTTTTAGTTAATATAAATTTTACCTTAACTGGAAGGTACCAAAATTCTCCCTGTTGAACAACCACAACATTATCATCAAACATGAAGCATTATTCATCAGAGACACACTGTGGCAAAATGTATACATATGCTGAATTGGTTTCTCACCAGTGGACTTCTTCTTGTAGTAGACAAATCCAGCAATGGAGAGTACGAGCCCCAGCACCAAGCCAGAGGTCCCAATGATCACCTTGTTTCTCGTCCCTTCAGGCACTGATGGGTCTGAAAACAAGATCCTAGGAGTCAACAGTGATTCATAAATTTGAATTTAATTAATTCATTGTGTATGTATCTGGAATTTGTATGTTCCTCTGGGGGCTCTGGGTTCCTCCAACGGTTAATGGGTGAATGGATAACTGATTTGTACTTTGTACATTAGTGTGTAATTTTTGTTGGAATAAAAAACTACAAACAGCTACTAACAGAGTAAGAAATATATACACTAAGTTTAAATAAAAGTAATAAAGAGAGCTGAGCACATTTTATACAAATGTTTGTCTTCGCCAATAGTGATCACCTCTTTAACCATGTTGGTCTTTTGTTACTGTCTTACCCCATTTATAGGTCTTGGGCTGCTTGAGGCTGCTGTGCTCCACCTGACACTCTATGGTCTCTCCAGACTGGGGTGTGAACTCCAGATAGGAGTGGATCTGGTGGTACCAGTCTCCATCGTAAAGCTCCTCAGTGGCGGTCACACCATCCTTCACCTCCTGTCCATTCCTCAGCCATTTCAGTTTGATTCCTTCGGGGTAGAAGTCATACGCACTGCACTGCAGCTTTGTGGTGTGCCTTTCACTGGAGGCCTTTACAGTTTTGACCTTGACAGTGGGTTCAACTAAAATATAACAGAAGAGAATTAAATTGATAAACCGATCCTGAGAATCTCCTCCATGCAGAATGTTTGCTGGGAGACACAGCAAACCTTCTGGCAATGGCATGTATTGATGTGCCATCATGGAGGAGTTGGACCACATGTGCAACCTCTGTAGGGTCCAGGACCAAAAAGACCATGCAGTGCTAATGAGTAACTGCTCACACCATTCAGTATAATTCAAAATAATATTAACAGCTGCTGAGCATCAATTACCAAATAGATCCACCATAACAACATAGATAAATCTTATATAAATGTAAATATACAAAAATTAAGAAGCCTACATGAAACAGCATCATTAATAAGTAAAATGTGCATTAAATCACAGTCAGCCACCATCCCCCATTACCTGCTTCCTATAGCAGTCTGTACCCCCGTTACCTGTATGAGTCTGTAATGTGTATTTTTAATTCACCAAAGGTGAACCGCTGTGCCTGTTCTCTTTACAGCACATGTCTCCCTCCCCCCTCCCACACCTTTGCTTTTCTGTGTGTTTCCCTCAGCATGTCTGACAGCAGCTTCAGTTATTCAATAACGTGCTGAATTCGTCCTACTGCTGTTTCAGACTTATGTAAATAAATAATAAGTACAGTAACTGTCCTGCCGACGCTCTTCCTTGTGCCGTTTCTCACTCCGCTCAGTGTCACTCACCTGTATGATACAGTATGTTCTTAAAGTACAGCTCAGCGTTGGGCTTGCAGTATCCGTCCAGGTTGGAATGCGCTCCTGCCAGTGCTGATTCGTCTTTGTTCCATATGTCTGCATTGTACACTCCGTTCTCAGAGTAACCAAAGTACTTATTCAGAGTGCTGTTATACATCATATCCTGCAGCTTGTTAAAGATACGTCTCTCGATATACTCCACGTCCTTCAGGTCCTCTGAGCTGTAGCGGCATTCGACTTGGAAATGATAGAAATAACCGTCTGATAGAAACACAAACTCACATTAATACATTTGAAGGCGGTTTCACTTTACAGTTTTATTTTGGTTAATTTACCAACGAATACAATAAATGAACAGCACATTTTCATTAACAAACTCAGCTCATTTTTGTTGTTTTTAAGGTGAGATCTAAAGTCAGGCTCCTCATCGTGTTACTGGGAACCAAAACTCACTCAGTCCTCAGGACTTAACTGTTAAGTCTTAACATCTCCACAGGAATCTCCTCAAAAATCGCTCCTATGAACTTTAGGGTGAATTTTGAGTATTTCCTCTTCAAACACCCAGTCTCACATAACGTGTATAAAGGATTTAATATGTTTTCTTTTTCATTTTCTAAGTTTAATATCTAATGACCGTTACTGACCGTTGAAACTTGCGCGTGCTTAGTTTTTTAAAACCATCTTTCCTCTTATAGACTCCTATGCTTTAGGTTAAAACTTCTTATCTGCTCATACACCATACTCTATACATATAAGTGCTCTAGGATCTACTTAAAAATGATATTTTAAAATTCTAGTTTCAGATTTAAGTGACCATACAGTCAATGCAGCCAGATTTTTTTAAAATTTATACTACAGCTCAAAATAATTATGTTTCACACAATTTTACATAAACACCGTGGACTGGAGAGAGACATCGGCCGCTTACCGACGGCGGACAGCGCGGACAGCGCAGCGAGAGCCCGAAAGGCGCTGGGGAACCACGGACGCATGTCTGTGTCGGCGGCGCGCAGACAGACCGCTGATCGGAGAGCTGAGAGTGAGACTGTGAAAGTGGAGCGAGTCTATAGACAGATACCAGTATTAAGGGAACCAATCATCAGCGGCGGCGGTGCCGCGTCATTCGTTACTAGGCAGATAAGATACAAGGGAAACGCACGCTCAAAATAAAATATAATTAAAACATACGTTGTACTCTCAATTTCTAAAGTATTATATTTGTTATATTGGACTGTTTTAGCAGATAAATTATTATGTGATTGTACGCCAAACTTATTTGTACACCTCAATTATTATGAATTATTATTGATATTAATTAAACATCCGTCTTCCACAGGCTTATCATATGAGGCCAGAATATATCTTGGAGTGGATGTGTCTGAGCACCTCGGGTGTGGTGGTTCAAGCTGAAAAAGCTGTTTATGCAGTCATCCAATCCTGCTGTTTCAGGCAAATAATACTGCTACAGTGACATCTATTTACTTTTCAACATAAATACTATATAAATAAATACAACTGTTCAGTGAATTTCAGCTTGGTGGAGTCATATTGTAGTGTTTTGTTGAGACTATGTTCTGTGGTTCTGCCAGACTTTTTCATGTTATACTTTAGTATTGTTTCACAGCTATCCAGTTAAGTCTTCATCTGCCTCTATCCATCTACCCTCAGGAGGTGAGCGAGCTTGTAGAATAATGCTAGGTCCATAATCTCCTGCTCAACTTTGCCAAGACGGAGGAAATGATTGTGGATTTCAGAAGATCCTAGGGTGAGAATAACCCTCTATACATTGGTCGCTATACTGTCAGCAGAACATAAAATTTTTCTGTGTGTACCTTACTGAGGATCTCCCCTAGAACCATAAGACATAACCTCCCTGACCAAGAAGGCCATGCGGCAAACTCAATTCCTGTGGTGCTTCACACAGGACAGACTGCCACCTCCCATCCTGTCCACGTTTTACAGAGGCATCATCAAGAGGGTCCTTGCAAACTGTGTCATGGCCTGGTTCAGGTTCTACAATGCCTCAGATCACCAGGTCCTCTAGTAGGCCATGAACACAGCAGTGAAGATTGCTAGGACCACACTGCCTTCTCTATGAAACATCTGTACTGACTGTTGCCTACAGACCCTTACGAAACAAAAATATATTGTAATGTATGAAAAATGTACTGCAATATATTAAACAGTATATTGTAATATATTAAGTGACTTGTGAGATATATGATGTATTTTGAAATGTATGACTTAATATACTGTTTTTTATATTACATTTATATTACGTACAAATAAGTGGGTAATACTCATATCTAATTAAATTACTGCTCTATTAATGCATGGCAGATTATGTGGGCCATGAATTTGCAATTTGAAAATATTCATAAATAAATTATTACACAAAAATACAACAAAAATAATTCATAATAATGAGACCAAAACTAAAGTCATCATATTTCAATTGTGCAAATGTATTTAAACAGGTTAAAATGACCTAATACAATTTTATCATTTTTTTTCTTTCCACCATGACAATAAAGAGCAATAGACTTGTACAACAGCTGGTTGAGCAACACACAAAAAGCTCTAGATTGCGATTAAAGCATGCGGAGTCATCAATAATAACACTATCATTGTTAGGACATTAACTCATATATGAATATTGCATGGACATGAGCAGTTTAATCTTCAAAGAAATATCTTGGTGGAATGCACACATAAAGACTTGCATACTGTGGTATATTAATAAGCACACATTTGCTTTTGAAAACTTAAACATTGAAAGCCAACTTTCCTCCCCTTATTTCTCTTTTGAGACACATAACATGTGGCAAATCACACAGAGTGCTGTGCGCTCTGTCATATACTCTACCAATAGCAAAACACTCCTTGCTTCCTTGTTCCTCAATTAACAGGTATTTTTCAACATTTGCAATGTCTCCACTTTGTAACAGAACAGTGAAACTGTTTCTATTCATGACTTTTTTGAAGTCCACTGAATAGTACAGTTGCCCATTCACAAGAACTCTATTAAATATCTGAACAACTGTGTCTGGTGTAACTGATGCATCTTCTCTAAGAGCAAGCTCCTCCTGCCTTGGAGGTTTTCTTGAATAATGCATCCCAACAGCGGCAACCTTAGCTGTTACTTCTTTAAATCTCCTCAATTTCTTTTGAGGAGTTAATCTGTCAAACAACTCTTTGCATTATTTTGTTGCACTTCTCAAAGTATCTTTACTCATAAGTGGCAATGCCTTAGACTGAATTCTTTCATTATCTGCGAAAATAAATACAATTTAATTAATTTATATGAGCGTACTTTTTCAACCCTGTTAAACAACATCAGAGTGATATTTTATAATTTATTTGTAATTTATCAATAGCAGAAATGCATCTTGTGCAACACAAAAGAACACAACTATTACATAAACCTATTTTTCCATCTAAGCATTCGCGACGGAATTTCTGCACTGCAGTTAGGTAAAATGTACTTTCTTTTCAAGTTTTCCATACTAATTCTATAAAAAGGCAATGTTAATAAAAGACAAATATGAAACAGAACTATTATCTATTACACACCCTTCCACCTACCAATAGGCTCGATGCAGGACGCGGTTTCATAGGCGCGCATGCGCAGACAAACAGTACTACGTTAGAACTTGGCGCGCAGAAAATACTGCGACAAACGGAGATGCAGAAATACGCATTGGGTTCCTCGAACGCTGGCCTAAATAATTACGCGGATAATGTTATCGAAACCAAATGGATAATAGACTTTGATTCAACTGACATTTCAATAACTTATCTTGTGGAATGCCGACGACCAAACTCAAAGCGACCCGTTAACGGATGGCCTGTAGAGGAAGCGAAGGTGCTGCAATTGTCAGGTAGGTTGTTTAGTAACTCATTAAATTTCTGATTGTTAGCTAAAGTGTTAATTTGGATGATATTTTAGATGCTAAATTTATAGCAGCTTACAGAGCTTCAAAGTATCTTTTGTGAATTACTTGCAATGCAACACGAATGCTAGCACGTTGCTAAGTCAGGGTTAGGCAAATTTAGCTACACCAAAATCTACTTTTCTTCTGCTTTCCCTGTCGTTGTATTGTGGTCTTTAGACATTTAGTACGAAGATAAGTATAATATAGAACATGTAACTCATTTATATGTTTCAGATAAAGAAAGTGCTCTCAGATCGACTGAGCGGGAAATGACTAAAGAACCCTCTCCATTTATGAACATAAGACGAATTAGGAAGCCAAAACGACTGGATTTTGAAGAGGACACAGAAGAAGAAGCCCGTTCATTTTCTCACAACATTAAAAAGGTAATTTATCGGCTATGCTGCTTTCAACTTAGTCCCTTGTAAAGTTTGTGTGAACAAGTGACTGAAAAATTGATGTTTCAGTATCTTCTGACAGTCATGTGTTTGGTACAAGTCAAAAAGTTTGGAAATTCAGTTTTCATATTTTAATAGATTCTGCTTAACTAAATATTTATGATCGAATTACTGGTTGGTGGAAAAGCCAGTTTTTTGTGCCCTGCTGAGATGGACTTGAACTTAAAAAGATGTTATACTGTATATTCCAATGTCCAATTGTGATTCCATTCCAATATTTAGGGTTAACATGAATTAGAACCCAGTGAATATGCACATACACAAAGTATTATAAAATAATGATTGTTTTAAAATAGTTTGTAATAGTTCCTTTAAAAATGTTCCTTGCTTTTAGTTTCAGATGTCAAATTCAAATTGTATCTGTGGTGTATTTGAAGGTAGAACTTGTAAGTGATGACAGCACTTGTATTTCATTGCTGGGAGACTGCTAAGGCCCAGAGGACTGCCAGTGGTATGACTTGGGTGTTGTTGTTAGGCCTCTTCAGAGTAGATGTACTATTATGGTCCAATCTCACTGGAGGCAAGAATAAGATTGACCCAACAGCAGAAGAGCCCCTGGATAAAATAAAGCTAACAAAACACACTTCCTTCATGAGTCCAGCCAACCTTTGATTATATAGTGAAACACATTTGGAGAAGAGTGCTGCTCAGTGATGTTTTCTCCCCAAAGAGCCTCATGGTTAATATGTGCTCAGTTGAACTCAAAATTACAGAGATCTGCTATTTTTATGCACTTCTTTATTAAAACAATTACATTTTCCTGAATATGAATATTGCATGAATGTCAATAATCAAAATATCATAAATTTTGTATTCTCTGTCACAGAAACTGTTCTAAAGCACCACCCAGATGCTAAATCTGGTGATGTGCGGAAGACCATCAGCACAAGAATTTGTGAACTGAGACACCAAATGAAGAATAAGATAATGGAGTCTACATCTACTGTACTGCAAACATCAGTATTGCGTAGTTGATTTTTCTGATTAATCAGAAGGATTCTGTCTTAAAAAATGTTAATCAGGATATAAATTTGATAATTTCAGAGACAAATAATTTGTATAACTTTAATTACAGCATATTTCTGTAAAAAATCATTTTTTAATTATTTGACGTTTTAGCAATTGTTCTCAAAGTTTTGCTGAATGTCTGTTTTTCTAAAGATGTGTAAAGGTCTAAATTAAATGTTTTTTAGAAACAGACTTGTGGCAGAAAGATTCTTATTTGTTAACTTTTAGGTTTTTTCTTTATTATATTTTAAATTGATTAATATATTTGCATGTTGTATAGAATTTGATAATACACAACTTGAGACTTGTGACGACTTTTAAATATGTTCAAATGGAATGTATGAGGTTTAGTATGGAACTTGTCACATTGTTTCTAGGTTGAATGTTATAAGGAAAACATTGTTATACAATAAATAACTGCAAATATATCATTAGATGTATGATGTGAAGTAGTTTATCATATTAATATATTTATATGATTCCTAATATATTTTGAAATATATTTGAGTAAATGTATTTTTCAAACTGCACATCATACATCTAACAATATACTGACTTAGCTATAGTGTAGCTGCAGATATATTAGATGTATAATATGAAATAATTTAAAAATATATTAACTCAAAATATATTCTAGAATATATGAGGGATCATATAAAGCAATATATTGCATTAAAATATATTGTTCATGTAAATCTCAATATATGAAAAGCGGCAATTGTTTATGTATTTTCCAATACATTATAATATATGAAAACATATATGTATTCAATACATTTTCTCATATATTATAGGAGTAGGCATATTTTTTTATTTTATTGAGATATTTTACTTTGTGGCATGAATACTGCAGTTTCTGAATACATTTCCATACCTTTAGTTGCATAGAAATGTTCAAATTGTTAGTATATGTCCAATGTTGTTCATATATTTAAATATATTTTTGTTTTGTAAGGGGAGAGCCAGTGGAATGATCAAAGACCCATCCCACCCCTCACACAATGTCTTTGTCCCACTGCCATCTGGTAGGATGTTCTGCAGCCTCAAAGCCAAGACAGTGAGGCTTAAAAACAGTTTTTCTCCCCAGGCAGTTTGACTGCTGAACAGTCTGGCCCCTCCCAATCTAAGACTGCACCTTGTAAAACGACTAACTTTTCTTCTCTGCACTTAAATCATGATACTGTAACAAAAAAATCTATTTAATTAATTTCTAATTATTTTTTTTTAAATTCCCATTAGCACAACTATGTGTTTTTAAGCTGTATTTTTTATCTGCATTTTAAGTGTATTGTTTTTTTATCTCATCTCAATGACATGTTTAAATGTCTTACATATTTATATTGTATTTATTACTGTTTCTTGGTACTACAATCAACAAGATCAAAATTTCTTATGCGTCACACACACTGCTCAAAAAAATTAAAGGAACACTTTGAAAACACATGAGATCTCAATGGGAAAAAAATAATGCTGGGTATCTATACTGATATGGACTGGGTAATGTGTTAGGAATGAAAGGATGCCACATCGTTTGATGGAAATGAAAATTATCAACATACAGAGGGCTGAATTCAAAGACACAAAAATGTGAGAAATGATGCAGCAGGCTAGTTTTGCCAAAATTTCATTGCAGCAAATTGTACTCAGTGGTTTGTTTGGCCCCCATGTGCTTGTATGCATGTCTGACAATGTCAGGGCATCCTCCTAATGAGACGCCGGATGATGTCCTGGGGGATCTCCTCCCAGATCTGGACCAGGGCATCACTGAGCTCCTGGACAGTCTGAGATGCAACCTGGTGGCGTCGGATGGACTGAAACATAATGTCCCAGGGGTGTTCTATTGGATTTAGGTAAGGCTAGCATGGGGGCCAGTCAATGGTATCAATTCCTTCATCCTCCAGGAACTGCCTGCATACTCTCGCCACATGAGGCCGGGCATCGTCGTGCACCAGGAGGAACCCAGGACCCACTGCACCAGTGTAGGGTCTGACAATGGGTCCAAGGATTTCATCCCGATACCTAATGGCAGTCAAGGTGTCGTTGTCTAGCCTGTAGAGGTCTGTGTGTCCCTCCATGGATATGCCTCCCCAGACCATCACTGACACACCACCAAACCGGTCAAGCTGAACAATGTTACAGCCAGCATAATGTTGTCCACAGTTTCTTCACTGACACGGACCTGCCAATTCTGGTATTCTATGGCAAATGCCAATCGAGCTCCACGGTCCTGGGCAGTGAACACAGGGCCCACTAGAGGACGTCGGGCCCTCAGGCCACCCTCATGAAGTCTGTTTCTGATTGTTTGGTCCAAGACATTCAGATCAGTGGCCTGCTGGAGGTCATTCTGTAGGGCTCTGGCAGTGCTCCTGTTCCTCCTTGCACAAAGGAGCAGATTCCGGTCCTGCTGATGGGTTAAGGACCTTCTTCTGCCCCGTGCAGCTCTCCTAGAGTAACTGCCTGTCTCTTGGAATCTCCTCCATGTAGAAGGTTTGCTGGGAGACACAGCAAACTTTCTGGCAATGGTACGTATTGATGTGCCATCAAGGAGGAGTTGGACTACCTGTGCAACCTCTGTAGGGTCCAGGTATCACCTCATGCTACCAGTAGTGACAGTGACCGTAGTCAAATGCAAAACTAGTGAAAAAACAGTCAGAAAAGATGAGGAGAGAAAAATGTCAGTGGCCCCCACCTGTTAAACCATTCCTTTTTTGGGGGTCGTCTCATTGTTGCCCCTCTAGTGCACCTATTGTTAATTTCTGAAACTGATTAACAACCCCCTCTGCTACTTAAATGACCGGATCAATATCCCAGAAGATTAATTGACTTGATGCTATACTCTGATTAAAAAGTGTTCCTTTAATTTTTTTGGGCAGTGTAGTTGAAGATGACAAAACTTTGACTTAAGACATTAATTCTCCAGCTTACAAAACGTAATCACCACAGCATACTTCCATAAAATTATCTTGTCTCCTCTTCCTGACCAGATAGCAAACACCTCATTTCTAACAATACAGCATTTCTGGTAAAGGTTGCAATGAAACTTTCACCTTTATTTAAAAAGTTTGGCCTTTATTAAAATTAATTTCAGCTGTACCTGTTCAGCCATTTCAGGAGAAACAAATACATTCATGACAAACAGCACATTAAGCTACCGTGCTATAAGAATTTCTGATCACTAAATTGTCAAAGTGCCAACTGACATGTTTTGCATAAAATGAAGTATAGCTAGGCATAGCTGCATGAAAATGATAAGAAGGTGTTTGGTATGGTGAAGAACTATCTTTGTAGAGCTTGATCATGGGTGCTTTAATGAACAGGCTTACCCACCTGTGATGACCTGGGGACTCTGCTAAGAAGTGACCTGTTTAGTAAAATATTAAACCTAGAGTTGTCATCCATGTATTTCATGGGATGATCTCGTATTGAAAAATAAAATGGTGCGTTCCATTTTGAGCCAATAAGGGACATGATTTGTCACCACCCACTCCAGTCAACAACTATACCACCTCAGAAAATAGCAGGGGGCCTCTGATAACTCAAACAGCCCAGGGGCCTCTGACTGTGTTAACTTGCCTCTGATCTTAAGTATGTGGAAAAAATGCATGCTGCCTGCTCTCTAATGGTATTTGTCTTTATGAAATTCCAGACAAACCGCGAAAGAACAAAGACAAGGTGGATTCTCCATAGCGCTAGAGGGCTGCAACTTGGTGCTGGGACTGTCCACAGTGATGGAACAGAAAGAGGATTTTAAAGGATTACGTTCAATAATTTAATCATTTGCAGCTGATCTCATTTACATTAATGTGTTCAGAAAATCACCTCTACTGAATGTGATCCAGCACGATACCCACGCTAAATGAATACAGGAGCTCAAAATGAATTTACAATACATCTTTAAACTTGGACAGCAGCATTTAGATACAGGGATCCTTTGAATGTGGTGAAGCATTGTAACAGTGCTCTTCCTCAGTTACATATTTGTTAATGTGCAATTCCAAATATTTATTTTAAAAACACTGTATAGAATAATACACAATTCTAATCTCTTGTCAACAATCAACGTTTTTCTTCATTTAATGTCATCAATATTAATTCAAAAACAGAAAAGATTTTTATTAAAAACATACAGGATCATATGATTAAAGGTGTGGAATGTTAATCTTAAATTTATGCTGATGCAATTCAAATAAACTTCTCTGAACAAGTGTGTACAAAATTGTGAATATTCCTTTTAAAAGGACTAAAAATATATTGTTAAAATCAAAAACATCAAAATTATCCTTTATGGTTATCAGAAACAAATAAATACAAAACAAAGCACTGATGATACCAAATACAAGTGAAAGGAATAAAGTACCAACATAAAATTTCAACTTTATTTTCTTCTTTAAGATTTAGACAGAAATATCATAGGCAAATTTTGATTGGGTATAATATACACAGTTTTTTTCATTTTTTTATAATTGATGAAATAGGTAAAATTTTAATTTTATAATCAGTAATATTAATAATGTACATGTCCATATGATCTCAGTTGTGTACATATTAACCAGTTACATACATCATATATAGATATTACTTTTGTCACCAGTCTATTACACACCCTACTCACTGAAGCACCCTTTTATCTGATTGGATGTTATGTCAGAATGAATTACACAGTTCAGCATGTTAACTGGACCAATCAGAGCTGTTACTGCTTCACCCTGAATGTCTTTCTCAGCTGCAGTTGTTTCCCTTGACGAGGAAGAAGGTTCCAGCTCCCACTCCCAGCAGCCCCAGAGTCAGTCCGATTCCGCAATATACTGTTTCTCCGATGTCTGACTCATCCTGAAATTCTGGTTCTGCATGAGCAAAGACCAAAATGATATGCAATTAATTTATATGAATTTTAATTGGTCAGCGATGGTTTATTATAGTTGATCAGAACATTTATAATAAAAACACAAAATCAGAGACATAAACTGAAACCATACCTGACTATTATACAATAAACTGCACTGGCCTCTGGTCAGAATACTGCTAAACCATCCTCAACCCCCAATAATTGGTTTTCAAATAATTGTTGGTACTTACAAGATTTATAAATACTATATATAATATGAAAATCAATATTATATATTTTCTTACTTTAGTTCTGTTTTTATGATTTTCTCATCTTGAAATCATGTTTATATACATTTTGAAAAATGCCATCTTGCAGATTCCCATTAATCATAAAACGTGTGAAACTCAGGAAAGTTGCACTATCAACTTCTTATGCTGACCCAGTGGAGAGCAGAAAGCAGAATTAACCACTTAACATGTTATGCCCATGATTATTATTAATAATATTTGTTATATTTGGCCATATGCCTTGATGCTAAACCTGATGCACCAGGGCAGCGGTTTAAGTAGTGCAATAAACTGGTTAAACTGGGGGGGATTCTGGTGGACAGTTCAAATCCTGTGGTTGGCAGAGTGATGTCACTGATGGACCCTTGAGAAAGGCCTCCAGAGACACTAGTTGACCCACCTCTCTAATCCCTGCATATACAGCACTTTGGACAAAAGCATCTGATTAAGGTAACCTTACCCCAGAACCTGGTCTCAGGTTCAGTCAGCCCCTTGTGATACACAGTGCAGGAGTAGTCATCCCCTTTCTGGGGGGTGAATTGGAGGGTGGAGTACTGCCTGAAGGTGAAGTCACTGTTGGGGTAGTAGCGACTCAGGGTCACTCCCTCCTTCACCTCCACATTATTCTTAGTCCATTTCACTTTGACAGGCGGTGGGTAGAAGTTATTCACAGAGCAGATCAGAATGTTGCTTTTACCGAGTTCAACTTCATTCCTGGTATATATTGTGAGCTGGGGTGGATCTGAGAAATCAAAGATAATTATTAAATTACAATTTATCTAGATTGCTTTGGCACATTTCATGCAGCATAGTTAACATTCTCATGACTTTCTCAAACCAGTTCATTCATATAGCACAACACTATGGTTTAACTGCAAAAGCCCGTAACTTACCCAAAACAATTACAGTTTTTCTCGATTGCTTTAAAGCATTTCTCAAATAAGTAACATTTGCAAAACAAGAAGTGTAATCCCCACACTATAATGTCACTTCTGCACAGTAGAACATCAATTCTCATTGCTTCACAGAAATTTCCAAATGTGTATTTCAACCTTGGGGTCGCGACCCCACATGGGGTCGCCTGGAATTCAAATGGGGTCCCCTGAAATGTCTAGTAATTGATAAAAAAAAATTACTGATAAAAAAAATATTTTTTCAACTAATTATTATTCTTTTAAAAATTATTAAAACACCACATACAATCTTAAACAACTGTATCCTTTCACGTTCATAAATATCAATAATAAATATAAATGAGTTCAAATAAAATGATCGCGATCACCTTCAGCCTTGTAAGGACAAGCTCGCCTAACGGTACATGTGATCAGGGAAAATAAAATGCGACTTTGTGCACTAATCTGGCTACTCTGTATTTGCAACACGGTATAACAAACATGAAATATTTGTTTCAGTCCATCTGACACCACCACATCAAAAACTAATTCTAGATTCTAATTCTAGAGAATAAAAATGTCTATGGGGTCACCAAAAATTTGTGATGCCAATATGGGGTCACAAGCCAAAAAAGTTGGGAACCACTGTTTTAGTGCATATATGGAAATTTTGTACAATTGTCATCATTTGGCACAATTTTCAGCTTTAGTCTTGTTAGTCAAAATAGATTATGTAGTTTCCCAATGTAACAATTTTACATCTGAAACTATATGTATGTGACCATCATGTTAGTCATCACATGCAAACAGTTAACCAAGCCTTCAAAATGATTTTAAAATATATTCCATAAATTGCAGATACAGCATTGTTCTGTTTCAGTACATAATTTTGTTGTTCTCACATTGCGATTTTGCTGCTTTTGTGTTATACAGTGCTGTGTGACTTTTTTGTTTGTTACAGTACTGAGCAAACAGCAAATATTGCCAAATGACATGCTTAACCTATACTTATTCTGCTATAAATACAGTGCATAGTAAATAAGTCTTTCATTTTAATATTTATTTAACACTAACGTATATTTGAGTGCACTGTGTTTTAATTCATTTTAAGCATTATTAATTTTAAGAAGTAAATTTAACATTCTATCAGTGTTATTTAGCTGAAATGTTATTTAGTGTTATTTACCATGAAAACCAAGACAAATCGCCTGAAAAACAGTTTTTATCCCAAAGCAATCATAGATTTAAATGCAAAACATAATGGTTAATTTCTTATTTTTCATCAGTGCAGTCTGTATGTTTACTGCAATCTGTATAGACAATGCAGTATTCTGTACAATTTGTAATTCAGTGCAATATTCAGTGCAATATTCAGTGCAATTTGTATATCTTTAATATTTATTACTCTTTTTATGCCTCACATTGAGTCGAGGTGCATTTCCAATTTCGTTGTCTAAGTGACAATGACAATAAAGATTATCTTTATCTTTAAATAGAGGTTGACAGGTGTGGATTAAAAGATCTGATGGTATCCTTACCTATCTGCTCAGGGGGGCTACCTCCGGCATCAACAGACACTTTCAAGTCACTTAAGCAAGTCTGATGCTGTACCTGTGCCAGCTGAGCCCAGGTTGGATAGGTCCACTGGCCAGCAAACTCCGGCATTGTGTACACCATATCATTCTTATTAAAATCAAAATAAAACATCTCATCTCCATCCAGCTCCAGAATATCCTCGGGATCAGTGTCATTGGTCTTGCAGGCCTGAACGGCTATATCGATATGAGCTGAGAGAGAACCAGGCAAAGTACATCAGTCACTCATTCCCAGGATTTAATATACTGTAAACATGCAGTTGTTACGTGGTGAATTTCCTGCATTGCTTCTTTACTCTCAACAGTGCAAATAATGCGTAATGAAAAGACAGAGCATTTATTTAAATATATATAAATACTTTCCCCAGTGTGCGAAATACCCGTAAATATTCGGGGGGGTCCCCATCTCCCTAATGTTGCGCAATACCGATCTTGAGACCCCATTAAAATTTTGCTTTTGAGGCTTTCAGGGGGTCTCAGGGGTTAATTGGAGGGTGTCGGACCCCCCCCCCCGTATTTCGCACACTGACTTTACCCAAGACTATGATCAGTGATTCTCAAACTACAGTACGCGTACAAATGGTGGAGCTTCGAGCTCCCCCTGGTGGTACTCAGAGGTATATCCTTCCATGACGTCGGTTACGGTACCAGCACATTTGCTGAGGTGGTACGAGGTGTGAACTTTGAAAACCTCTGACTTAGATATTAAAGGTTCCAACACAGAATTATCCAAAAAAAAAATGCTATAAAATTGATTATAAGTCTGAAAACAGAGAACTGCCTATAGTAATTAGCTAAAAAATTATTAAGCGTAATTCTATCCTATAATAATTATACCGCTATCATTCATAGTCTAAAAAAACAAAAGTACTTGCCAAGCATTCTGTGAATCAAATGAAAATAATTCTGATCCAATTGATTACATATTTGTTTTAAGGCAGCATTACTCTGGCTCGATAACTAAGCTTGTTTAGGTAAATTCAAATGTTAATTGTTAGTTTATTGTATAATTTCACTTAATCTCACTCCATCCTACTCCAACAGTGGCCGGCTGAGATTCCTCAATCTGGATAAATTATACAGACTTGATTCAGATTAAATAGTGCTACTTGATATATAACTTTGATGTTATTCATATGTTACTTAAATTTGGATTACTGCCGTTTAGGATTCATACAAGGCAACTAAGCCACGTATCATTTAAATCAGAATCAGAAAACTTTTATTTTCCCGATATAAATCGCTGAAATTTAACACATTCATTTTAAAACAAAAATCCGCAGTAATAAGTACAGGGGGCTGAAATCGTCACTTACCTTCAACCTTTGCACAGATACACAGGCCTCCCAAAAGCATGAAGAGGGAAAAAAAGTGACTCATTTTCAGTCGCAAATTTACACGCTGGGTTCTTTGTTGCAGACAGTAGGCTACTTACCGAACCCAAGGACCAGGACCTGCACACTAAATAAGTTACCAAGCGGAGAAACTCCTTCACCTCCGAGCGAAGCCACGCCCCTAATGACCAATCAGAAAAGCCGTATCATTTCTACTGAAGTTGCTAGGTAAGAAACTCAAGTTACCAAGCTTTCAGAATGATTTCAAAATACATTCCATGAACTGCAGTCATACGGCATTGCTGTGTTTTTGATTCCACAATACATGGTTTTGTTTGTATTTTTCTTCAGCAAACTGATACTTATTCATGTAAGACACCAGTTTCAACACTGCAAGGCTCTACATTACAGTATTTAAAGTTCCCTGGCAAGAGAAAGCACTCACATGTATATGTAACTCATAACACAGTACAACAGCAAACATAAAAGTCACACAGCACTGTATAACACAAAAACAGCAAAACATCAATTCAAGAACAACAAAATGACAACAAAATCATACACTGTGGGACCGAAAACACAACAATGCTGTATCACTGCAATTTATGGAATGTATTTTAAATCATTAGGAAAGCTTGGTTAAATGTTTGCATGGGAAGATCACTCACATATTTAGTTTTGGGTGTAAAATTATTACAATGGAAAACTACATAATCTATTCTGACCAACAAGACCAAAGTAACTGAAAAGTGTGCTGAATGATGACAATTGTACAAAACCATTTGCATATACATTATGTACTAAAACATCCAGAAATTTCTGTGAAGCGATGAGAAATGATGTTCTGCTGTGCAGAAGTGACATTATGGTGTGAGGATTACACTTGCAGGGGGTGGCATGGTGGTGCAGTGGTTAGCACTGTCTCCTCACACCTCTGGGACCTGGGTTCTGTGTATGGAATTTGCATGTTCTCCCTGTGTCATTGTGGGGTTTCCTCCAAGTATACTCTGGTTTCCCCCCACAGTCAAAAATATGCAGAGGCTAACTGGAATTACCAAGTTGCCCATAGGTGTGCTTGTGTGAGTGATTGGTGTGTGAGTGTACCCTGTGATGGGTTGGTTGCTGCATCCTGGGTTGTTCCATGCCTTGTGAATGTAGCCTCTGGACCCCCTGTGACCCTGAATAGGATAAGCAGTTTCAGAAAATGGATGGATGGTTGGATTGCACTTGCTGTTTTGCAAATAATAATAATTGATGCTTCATTGACCCCTGTGGGAAAATTTTAGGCCTCCCTCAATTTGCTCTTTGTAGGCAAGAGTCAGCTGGCTGCAAAGGGCAGCCACCTGTTGCAGCAACCAGGGGGGTGGGGGTCAAGGGCCTTGATGAAGAACATGTGGATGAGCTGAGGCTGGGTTTGAACTGGCAACCTTCTGATGACAGGCACACAAGCCTAGCCCACTGGACCACAGGTTGCCCCCTTTATCATGATACTAATTTACAATATTATTTGTCATTTGAGAAATGCTACAAAGCAACAGAAAAACTGTAACAAAAGTAGAAGTATAAATTCTTCTTAGTGAAGTTTATAGAGTTTCCAATGTCTGTTTTCTTATTAATATTCTTAAATGTTCCCAACTGGCAGCAGTGTTGTCAGATTTTCTACACATTTTGAAATCAAGGAGGGGCCTTGGGAAACAGGGACATCCCATATTCAGGGAGCCATTAATTAAAACTTCCTCATTAAAATATTCCCCATAAATCAGTATTCTGGCACTCAGACCCATTCAGCTTCACCCTCCCCTATCAGATTCTTTAGAAGTATTGAAATCAAGGAGGAGGGGCCTTGGAAAATACAGGGAAAACAGCCTCTATTTAATGGCATTCCATATTCAGGGAGCCTTTGGAGTCGCACAGCGAGGGCTCGCGGGACTGGATGATGTGAACCACGCGGCCCAACTTCTCGCCCGGCAGCTTGTTGATGTCCAGGCTCAGCTGCCGCTTCTCGTCGTAGCTCATGGGTCGGCCCTCTTCCTCCTCCTCTGAGTCATAGTGGGGCAGCAGGGAGGGCGGAGCCACAGGGGCGGGGATGTGGGGGGCTGCTGATGTGGACTTGGACTTCTTTGAGGGCCTTCAAAAAGAATATAAAGAATGAAATTTAGTGAGTGTAACTGTAACAAAAATGGTAACTCTGCAAACGTGGGCAGATGGACCAATGGGATGCTGAGCCCTGAGCTGTAATGCCGGTTCACACATGACTGTGGCTAAACACAGATTCAGATCCATTGTCAAGTTTTATTATAATATCACCACTCTGGGTTTTGATCAGCAATAATGAAAATTCAGCTAATGAGGAAGAGGTTAGACTCCTGACAGTGTGGTGCCTTGACATAAACCTCTGCTTTAACATCAGCAAGGCCAAGGAGTTGATCATCTTTTTCAGGAACCAGAATACAGACCATGCTACCATTTACATCAGTGGGGAAGCTGTGGATAGAGCAGATTTAAATTAGTCTCAGACAAGCTATACATACCTGTAGGAATCAGGAAGACACAACAGAGTCTTTACTTCCTCAGATGCCTGATGAATGACCAGATGTCACCAGCAGCCCTCATGAACTTCTATAGATGCATGATGGAATCTATCCTCAGTGGGTTCATTACATTGTAAGGTCACTCAATCACTGCTAATTGTAAAAAATAAGTTTAGTGTAGAATAAAATGATGGCCACTTGCACATCACTTATTTGTTATATATTACATCCATCTACTTTCTAACTACTTATCTTAGCCTATCATATACCTATCCTAGGTAGAATATGCCCATACAAACTCGGGCTAATTCAGAGATTCTAATTAGACTAAAGGCACATTTTGGACTGTGTGAGGAATGCAGTGTCAATTTGAGTTATTTAACCTTTCACCTAGCCATCATATATGCTTATCAAGTGATGATAAGCAGAATCATTGAATGAGATCCATGAAGAATGACATTGGATTTGTGTTTTTTTTTTATTTATTATCTTTTCTTTGTAAAACAAAACATTTTAGTAATATACAGAAATTATGAATGCCAGCCTTCTGTGAGACAAAGCATTTAAGCAGCAATGCCACTGCAGATTACAAAGGGAAAGTGAAATGAACCTGTCCGTTTGAGCAGTGTCATGGTGAAGCTCCAACACATGATGGCAGCAGAGAGGCATGACTCTCAAGCAAAACCCAGTCATCAGCTGCTAATAACCAACACTTTGCACTCGTCGTCAATTAGCGTCCATATTAATATTTCAGGACTGATATACAAATATATATATACGGAAGATACGGAAGAGGATTAGGGCCACCATGAAAATATTGTTTGAATTCTGACTTTAATCTCAGAATTCTGACTTTTTTCTCAGAATTCTGACTTTAATCTCAGAATTCTGACTTTAATCTTAGAATTCTGACTTTTTTTTCTAAAAGTCAGAATTCTAAGAAAAAAGTCAGAATTCTGACATTAAAGTCAGAATTCTGACTTTTTTCTCAGAATTCTGACTTTTTTCTCAGAATTCTGACTTTAATCTCAGAATTCTGA